TGACGTGGTATTGGTGGCGGACTTGATACATCGGATCGTGACCTTGACCGAAACGAGGAACTGAGAAGTGAATCAGACTGCAGCGAGCCCACATATGTTCCCGGAGGAGTACCGGGACAAGTTGGCGGATGTCCAAGATCTGCAAACTGCGAAAAATAATAAAAACTATAGCGAAACTGGTGTATTTTTCATGAAGGAACGAAGCGGAATTCGACCTTCACATGCGAAGGAATCTCACACTATTTTAGAATACTTTAGATTCGATAAAACTAGAGAGCAAACGAAGGCAATCTATAAACGTTTACCTTCATCAAGCATTTCATTGTCGCAAGTGGATGTATGCGATTCACGTCGTGTACGAAAGTTCAGACGTTCCCGGAATGCATCCATGAAGCTGTGCTCACTCCTGCAAGAAACAACCCGTCCAATACTCATCTACACAGAACTAGAGATCGAAAGTGATCCGATTTCTCTTAATCAGAGCCCACTGCATCGCAGTACTCTTAGCTGATATCATGAACAGATAGAGTAAAAAACATCCAGTGATTTTGGCTGTCGGATGCGCCTATTTTCCTTCAAATTACATTGTTTCCTATGAATTATCTGTATTTGTGGGCTTTAACCTTGATCCTGTGTTTGTTTGAATCCAAAAGTCAGCCATCTAAAATCGCTGAATCTAGAATCTTGTCCTTCGAAAAGTGGGAAGTAAATATGTACGCATTCTAAAAATTGGCATATTTTGTGCCCTAAGTATCATTTCAAATTGTAGCAGATTGGCCAATTTAACAGAACGCGCTGGAATATTAATTTGGAAGCCGAACATAACAAAGCCTAGAAACAGAAAAATATTTTAATGTTGGAAGAAGAAAAAGCAAATAATATTAAGAAATGAGTAAAAGTTGCAAAACATTGTAAAATATAATGGTAAGAAATGTTTCGGTTCATTAAGATCTAGAAAGTCGAAATTCGGAGATTCGGGGAAAGCGTTTCAGTATCTTATGCTAACAGTGCTTTGACGAAGTGTACTGCCGAAAAACCAGCTGTTCTTAAACACGTAAAACAGAAAGTCAGGATCGCTCGTAGGCTGACTATTAGGCGATGCAGCATTGGTCAAAGAAGTCGACTGAACAGGCAGCTCATGCAGGCGTGGTTGTAAACGAAGCCTATTTTCAAAAATGGTTATGGGCTGGGTGAGAATCAAAGTAAATCCGTATGCAACGTGCTACCCACTACAGCATCGGCCTTTTTGCACCAGATTCAACCTGGCTGCACATCTACTGTGTATATTTGTCTTTCAAAGCAGAATATGCCCTCTTTCATCTTGGCTACCTCTCACAGGCAGTCTTTTGTTTTTTTGCGGTTTCTTTCTGGAGGCCTTTTAAGCTACAAAAACTCCAGGTATAAAATCCCTGAAAATGGAAAAGGGAGAAAAAATCCGTACCGCAGTTTTTTGGCCGATGGGCTGCTGCCCGCAGTACTGCCGAGTTCAGCGTCGCCGTGCTCCGGCATTCGCGTGTAGATGTTATAGTTGCTTCCATGCTGGTGAGGCGGCGGCGTATACGATGTCATAGAGTGCCCCTCCTGAAACACATCACACTTGAACAACTGAGCATGTGCACACCGAATTCGAGCCGACCTGCAGAAAAACCACGAATTCTCGAGCTCTGAAATATCTTGCGAACCTCGGCACCTCGAATTTCTCACTGAGTCTCCGCGCTGTGCACGGGCAGCTTAGTTCCTTCCTCACCACTGCCAATTTCATTGCCCCCGGCATGGAAGCCGAGCTCCCTATCACTTCTAGCGACTACCAGCCAAGTTCCAAATCTCAATGCAATTTTTAAAGTGCGGGAAATCGTCACGCCACATCTGGCGCAAAAATCGGCGTTTTAAAACGAAAGTACGCCTATTTCTGAAATGAAATTGGCCGTTCGAGGTGAAACAAGGGGGGTAGCATCACATGTACCTCCTAACTGGCAAAGGTAACACAGTCAGATGCAGATCAGAACGGAAACATCGGAGAAAGCTCCGGAGGCATCGCGGTGAAATCGGCGGCTAACACACCGGGAGCTCT